CAGGTCAGCGCATTGTGAATCAATTGAGAGTGTCTTTATTTTCCTCTGTTTTGAGGCAAGAAGTTGCTTTTCTTGACAAGACTCGTACAGGGGAGTTGATTAACCGCCTCTCATCAGATACTGCACTCCTGGGACGTTCAGTGACGGAAAACCTCTCAGATGGCCTCAGGGCCGGGGCCCAGGCTTCTATTGGCATCGGCATGATGGTAAATTGACTGATTCTGGCTGAGGCTTGGCCTCTTGAATGCACCTTGATGTTCAGTGTTAGCATTTATTGTTCGGAACAGTTCCACAAAGTAGGCTATGGAAACTGAATTTTAAAAAAGAGGTGTTTAGCTTACATCAAGACCAGTTTATGAGGGAATTGTCAGAATGGAGCCCTGTGCTAAGTCAGGGACTGCTTGGACAAATTGCCTGATCTCCTCCATATATGTTGTAGGAAAATCTAGTTTAATGTGTACAGGATTGGTGCAAAGGAGTATTTCCATCCTTTTGAGGGAAGGGAAGCTCTTGATGGCATACTGAATGAATATTCATGGGTTGGTTGGTTTGTTGGTTTGGTTTTTTTAATTTTAATTTTTTTTAAAATTTTCTTCTAGTTTATTTACAGAATTCAAATACATGTTTTCTAGAACAAATTCTTGTTGGTTTGTTTTTTTCCAGGTAAAGATATCTCAAAAGTTCTACCAAGACAGTATGTGCATAGTTATGGAAATAGCAAATTGATTAAAGGTGGGGTGTTGTTGTTGCTGTGTACCGTTGAGTTGGAACCGACCCACAGCTGACCCTCTGATGGGTTTTCAGAGACAATTAAGCACACAGGAAGAGATTGCTCATGCTTCTCCTGCAGAGCAGCTGGTGGGATTACAGCACAGTAGTGCAGCCCAATTGAGGCCATGATCACTTTTCAATCACTTGCTGTGCATCCTGGATAATGAATAAGGATGACAGAATCATTTATTCCCTTGAACTGTGGTATTGGAGAAGAATGCTGATGGACTGTCAAAAGAACAAATAGATATGTCTTGGTGAAAGTAAAACTTTCTACTTTTTAGAGGAAAAGATGGTGAAACTTTTTCTCACATAGTTGGGCATCTTGTTGGAGAGGAACATCATACTTGGAAAGGTGGCGAGTCAGAGTAAGAGAGGAAACCTACAAGATGTATTGACACAGTGACTAACAAACAGGCCTAAGTATATCAGAAATTATGAGGATGGATAGAACAGGGTCCAGATCTATAAACAACAGTTTATAGGGTGGTCACAATGAATCGTAGTTGACTTGATAGAATGTAACCATTATTACTATAGTTACTGCCAGTAAATTGTACATCTGGAAGATGTTAGAGAAAATTAGTGTGATGGATTGAAAACAATGTAGGGGCAGGAGCAGAAAGCTGCCCAGGCAGCTGATGTACAGTTAAAAAACCCATGAGATTTGGTTCTTTGGTTTGGAGGTTTAGTTTCATAGTTTTATGGGACATTCCAGTAAATTTGCCTAATAAGATGTTTAGTGCTTCTATTTTGCTTCCTTGTTCATTGCACAGTACCTGGTCTTTTAAAAGCTTATGGAACTTAGCTGTCGTTACTGAATATTTTGATCAAAGATTCTACAGAAGATCGAAAGGGAGAAAAATCTAGAGCAGTATTTAAAATTTTAATCAACTTTAAAATCACAAGGAGAAAAATGTTTTTTAATCAACTTCAAATTTCCCTGAGCTATAAAAGTTGAATAAACCCCTGAAACTCTTACCCTGAGATAACTGTCAAAGCAGACAACACTGAAATCTTCTTAAAACCAAATGATGGTTTCAAATTGTTGTTATGTGCTGTTGAGTAGCCTGCAACTCATAAATACCCTATGTACAATAGCCCTAGACTTTGCTCTATCCTGTGCCAATCTCACTGTCTCTGACCACCTATCCCCATGACCCATTTCCTGAATCAATTAATCTCATCGAGAGTCTTCCTTTCCTGCACTGTCCCTCCACCCTCCCAAGCATGACACCCTTCTCTGAGGACTGGTCCCACCACTTCAGAATCCTTGGCTCCAAGGAGCAGCCTCATTTCACCCTCTTCAGGACTAACCTTTTTATTAGTTTGTTCTCTTAGCAGTCCATGGTATATTCAATAGTCTTCAACACTACAGCTCAAAGGCATCAATTCTCCTTCTATCATCTCATTGGGCTCTATGAGGAGATGCGCGGCGTTAGGATTGGTGGAAGATCTATCAACAATCTGTGTTATGCAGATGAAACAACCTTGCTCGCTGAAACTGAGGAGGACCTCATGCACTTACTGCAGA